GGAAGCACCCTGACGGCAGACCGTGGGTGCCGCACCATCCCCACCCACGCGAAATGGCGTTACACAACCCCGATCCAGATGGCATCTGCAGGGATTGTTACACGCCGACGACATCAACGAGCGCGATTGCCGGCCGCGGACTCGCCGCCATCGCTGAAGCAGAGCGCCACGCGCCCCCAGAGGAAGGGATGTCGCAGCTCGAGCTTGAAGTTACTACCCACGGCATCCCCTCATCGGTCCTCCCTCACAGCACCTTCAAGGCATGCTGCGCGGAACTGGCGTCGGCACCTTTGATGCCCATGGCGAGCCGCGACCCTACACCTACGAGAGGTTTCTGGCCATCTACTCTCATCGACGCGACTCATCAAAGAAACTCACCGCGGAGCGAGAGGAAGAATTGGCACGCCGCGAAGCTGAGGAGCTTCGCCAGCAAAGCCTCGCAGAAGCACGTGGGACCTTCGCTTGCGCCACCTGGGGAGCTGAGGCTGAAGAAAGTGCCTCCAATGAAGGAGGGTGGGGGAGCGCAGGAGGATGGGGAGACGCCGGCGGAACCTGAGCCAACGCGAGCGGCGGATGGGGCGCCGCAACTAGCGCCGACAATAGCGGCTGGGGTACTTTCCGCGAAGAACGAAAGGGGGGAGAGGATGAAACTGAGGCAACACCTGCAGTCGTTCCTCTTGGCCGTCCCCCGCGTCACATTCCACTCGCACCACCTCCTCCTGACAACCCCCCGCGTCGCGATCCATGGGACACCATCATCTGGGGCAACGAGCCGTCAACCCTGCGTCGCACCGTCTACGGACCTGCCCCTGAGCCACGCGAACCCACCTTCGTCCCTGGAACCATCCCCGGGACCAACATTCTGCTCTCTGAGATTCGGGACAGAGAGTTCTTGGCGCTGATGCTGACCACCGCGCCGGAAGAAGAAGAAGCAGAGGGAGTAGCAGCAGAACCTGCTCCTGTACCTGACGAAGACCCTGAGGAAGCACGCGCACGCTACATACGCACCTCCGGCTTTCGCGTTGACGATACTCTCTGGCACCAGCGCCTCGGACACCCTTCACGTGCGACGCTGAAAAACTGCATCGACGCAGGCGTCTTCGCTCCTGGCGCACTCCTGCACCCTGATGGCTCCGAAGTGAGAGGCGCGACACATCCGCACAACTGCACCGTCTGCCCCGAAGCTGCGCTGAGCCACCAACCGTTCCCGCTGCTCGAACCTGGAACGAACCGCTACCCCAAGCTACACAAGGTGTACAGCGATTTCCTGAACGTGGGGCATTGCGGAGCCGAGGACGAAATGTACACGCTCACCTTCATCGACGCTGGAACACGCTACGTGTGGGTCGTGAACGTGGAGTCACGGGACAGAGCCTACGAAGTGTTTCGCCTCTGGCTGGCGCACGCAGAGCGACAGTCTGGGAAGAAGCTGAAAATCTGGCAATCTGACGGCGCGGCAGAATTCAGGAGCAACCAGATGCAAACCTACCTCACGCAAAAGGGGATCGAGCACCACATTTCTCTCCCCTACGCGCACCAGCAGCAGGGCGTAGCTGAGCGGACGAACCGCACGCTAATGACGAAGGTGCGCGCGCTGATGAAGCAGTCGAAATTGCCGCCGATCTACTGGACCTACGCGATGCACCACGCAGTGCGGGTGCACAACCTACTCTCGACCACCGCCATCACCGGCAATCTGTCCCCGCACGTCAAATGGACCGGGACCAAAGGGGATACCTCCATGCTGCGCGTATGGGGGTGCATGGTTCAATACCGCCCGCCGACTTCAACCATCGGCAAATTCGCCAGCCGCGCGCGCTGGGGGATCCATCTCGGCATCAGTCACGAGTACAAGGCGTGGATCGTCCTGGACCTCCTCAGTCAGAAAATCGCTCACGCTCGCGACGTCATCTTCTACGAGCGCCTCTTCCTCGACCAGTTCCGCCGCGACGAAGAAACGAACGCGAACCGCGTCTACGCGAACGATGGGCACAGCTACGCAACGCCCGAAGACGAAGCCGCTGCAGCAATCTTGGAGCAGGACACGAGGGGCGAGTTCGTGTGGGAAGAACGACGCAGCAGCGACGACGACGACGACGACGATTCCTCGGGAGGAGGAATGGGCACAGCAGGCGGAAGCGGAACAGGCGGAAGCGGCAGAGGCACAGCACCACCAGCGCCTCCTGAACCAGAAAGCGATGACGACGATGTACAGGAAGTCATCCCGCAACGTCGCCACGACAGCACTATCTCAGGACTGCAGCTGCTCGGGCTTCACACCGCAACTTCGAAGGCGCCACGTGTCATCGAGCCCCGTAATCCGCGCGAAGCTCTTTCTGGACCACACAGCAAGGAATGGCGCGAAGCAATGAACGCAAAGATCAAGGCACTGGAGTCACGAGACACCTGGGTGCTAGTCGACCGCGCGGCGATCAAAGGCGCAAGAATCCTCTCGGGGAAGTGGGTCTTCCGCGTGAAAACCGCAGCGGACGGAACGATCGAGCGCTTCAAGGCGCGTTGGGTGGTTCGCGGCTACGATCAGAGGCATGGCATCGACTTTGACCAGACGTTCGCCCCAGTCAGTCGCCATACCTCCGTTCGAATCCTGCTCGCCATTGCAGCTGCAAGGCACCTACCACTCCGCCAGATCGACGTGAAGAACGCATTCCTGTACGCGTTAGTGGACGCCGTGATCTATGTAGAGCAGCCGCACACCTACGGCGGAGGGGACTCACGCGTGTGCCAACTGCGCAAGTCACTCTACGGGATCAAACAGGCTCCGAGGCTGTGGCAGCAGTACCTGCACAACATCCTGCTTGAAATCGGATTCAAGCAGATGCCGCACGATCCAGGGATGTATCGCCGCGAATTCCGGGGGGAATACATTCTCCTCACGGTGTACGTCGACGACCTGCTTTACACAGGCTCAAACAACGAGCTTCTCGAGCAGTTCGAGAAGGCCTTGGCGGGGCGCGTCGACATCACGTGCAACTACGAGGTGAAGCAGTTTCTAGGCCTCAACATCTCCTACGCGCCTGAGGCCATTCATCTCTCAGCAGCTAAGTACGCAGAGGAGTTAGGGAAGCGGTTCAACATTTCACCTGCACCTCTCTCAACTCCCTACCGAACTCCCGGACCGAACCACAAACCCGACAACAAACCCCTATCCCCTACTGGGATTCAGACTTACCAGCAGCAGTTGGGATGCCTCCTCTTCGCCTCTGTCACCTGCAGGCCAGACCTCTCGTACATCGCCAGTCAGCTGGCGCAGTACTCACGCAAACCAACGGCTGAGAATCTTCTGGATCTGCAGCGCGCCCTTCAGTTCTTCGTTTCAACGCCCAAGATTGGGATGTGCTACTCAACTGCACCAACTACATCCTTCAACCTCATCGGCTATGTGGACGCCGATCACGCAGCAGACCCCGATAATCGACGGTCCAGGACTGGCTTCCTGTTCCGACTCGAGCCAACGGGACCAATCTCCTGGAACTCGCAGAAGCAGGAGCTGGTTGCCCTGTCGTCAGCCGAAGCGGAATTCATCGCAGCAACCGCAGCAGTTCGCGAAGGCCTCTACTTGCAGGAACTCCTGCAAGAGGCGAAAATTCCAGCTTCGCCCACATTTCGCCTTCACTGCGATAACCAGAGCGCGATTCGCATCGCGAACAAACCTGGTTTCGTCAACCGGACCAAGCACATTGCGCTGCGGTACTTCTTCGTGAAGGATGAGGTAGACAAGGGCAAGGTCAACTTGACCTACTGCCCGACCGGTGACATGGCAGCAGACTTCCTCACGAAGCGACTGCCACGCCAGCAGTATCAGCACTGCTCCGAACTCAGCGGCGTGGTCAAGCAGGTCAAGTCGAGCTGCAGCCAGGAGTGAAGGGGGGTGTTACGAATAGTAATACTTGAATATTACTGTGCACTCCTCACCGCAGCAAAGAGAAGCACGCAGTATCGCGAATGAACACGAAGCGTCAGACGGTTGGAAACGACTCGAAGCGTCAGACAGTTAGGACGCATCTGAACCGTCGGAGCAGACAGCATCAGGCAGCTGCAGGCAGGATGGCTTCGGCGGGAACAGTTTCGTAACTGTTCGCGCCGCACGGTTGGGAATGTATTTGAATAAGGGAATGTACCCCTTAGAGTACATGGCTAGCTAGGTCGTTTCATCTCCGCTGTACTCATATTTATATTTGCTGTATTTGCATGTTTTATTCATCGCAAGCATTTACATTCACTCTGCTATTGAGGTCAAGGGCCCACCAACATCACTTCTCTGCGTGCGAACCTTCCTGAGTAGATCCTAGGCCACGATCAACTTCTGATCGCAGCACCAAGAAACTCGGAAAGCAGAAGTTCGAAACACAACGAAGGATCGGCGAGTCAACCATCGGAGGTTGAAGAAGGAAAGTAACTGAACTGCTGGAGGTTACGCGAAAGTCAAAGGTCAACGACTTTTGACCTGACAAATACAGCGCGACAGCAAGGACAAACAACTGACTCGTTATTGAGCAGTTGCCCGAGTCGTCACTGTATCGAACCGCAACAGCAACAGTAAAACGGTTATTAGCTATATCTCTTCGTATTCCTTGTACTCTTATAAAAACCTTGTATCTCCTTGTTTTAGTTAATCGATCTTGCCCTCACATACTAGCGCAAGGTGGTTCAATACTTATCATTAAAACGTTTCCGCAACTACAACATTCTTACTCTAAGTTGAGCCTTGCAAAGATCCTAAGGGCTTTTCTCAGCCCAACAAGAGGCAGTCAGCACGTGACACTCTCTTTGAAATGCTGCTCTTGCCCACTATATACATGTGAAGGTCCTACTTGTACCGTATGTTGCAGGGCAGGGAGTTGGTTTGGGGTTAGTGAAGGATGGGGAGGGTGGCCAAGGTGTGGCAGGCTGCACCGCAGAAACCTCAGCAGCAACGGCAGGATGAAGAAGCTGCTTATTCCTGCATGAGTCCAGATTCTCAGGTGGGCGTGGTAGCAACGCTACCTGCCATGTGGTGCCATGCCGCCTGCAGGCATTCCCCCCCTGGGCACCTGCAGGTCGGGCCAGCCGTGAGAGGAGATGGAGGGAGACGTGTTGGTGGGGAGAGCACGAGAGAGTGAGTGAGTGAGGGAGGGAGGGAGGGAGGGAGGGAGGGAGGGAGGGAGGGAGGGAGGGAGGGAGGGAGGGAGGGAGGGAGGGAGGGAGGGAGGGAGGGAGGGAGGGAGGGAGGGAGGGACGGAGGGACGGAGGGAGGGAGGGAGGGAGGGAGGGAGGGAGGGAGGGAGGGAGGGAGGGAGGGAGGGAGGGAGGGAGGGAGGGAGGGAGGGAGGGAGGGAGGGAGGGAGGGAGGGAGGGAGGGAGGGAAAGAGAGAGAGAGAGAGAGAGAGAGAGAGAGAGAGAGAGAGAGAGAGAGAGAGAGAGAGAGAGAGAGAGAGAGAGGAGGGTGGCAGAGCAGGCCCTGAGCAGGCATATGGGTCAATTGCAGTTTACGCGCAACCATGGGTGACCACGAGTGACCACGAGTGACCACGAGTGACCACGAGTGACCACGAGTGACCACGAGTGACCACGAGTGACCACGAGTGACCACGAGTGACCACGAGTGACCACGAGTGACCACGAGTGACCACGAGTGACCACGAGTGACCACGAGTGACCACGAGTGACCACGAGTGACCACGAGTGACCACGAGTGACCACGAGTGACCATGAGTGACCATGAGTGACCATCATGGATAACGGTTGTGAGCATGGTGTGCAGGGCGAGCAGTGACACCACCTGACCGGACTCAACAGCGGGTGGGGAGTGCAGCATGCTGGCAGCACAAGCAAGGACCACCTCACACGTGCCCATGCCGCACCCTTGCACGGCAGCGATCAGCATGTGCACACACATTCGCGTGCAGGGGTGTGTGCACGCAGTGCCAGCCTACAGGCAACGCAAGCGGCGGCGGGGGAGGATGGGCAGCGGGTGCAGTGACAGACTTAGTGCTTGGGGTTGGCGGGGTCAGGCGCCCACTGCAGGCGACTCATGTTGGGCGCCTCCACGAACAGCATTGTGAACCTGCCGCGTGCGTGGCAGACACATGTTCGCCCAGGGGAGAAGCGGTTGGTGTGGATGGGCGTTCAAGGGGAGGGGATGGGGATGAGAGAGGGGAGAGTAGGTGCAGTGCTGGCAGGGATGCAAGACGTGCATGGCATGCAGCATGCGCTGTCACACACAAAAGCTTCCAAGGACCCTTCTCTGCTTCGTCCCCAGTGGCTCTCCCCCTCTCCCTCACCCCTCCCCCTCTCCCTCACCCCTCCACCTCTCCCTCACCCCTCCACCTCTCCCTCACCCCTCCGCCTCTCCCTCACCTCTGTCCCACTCTCTCTTCTCTGCCCCATCCACCCTCCCTCCCTCCCTCTCTCCCCCTATCTACCCCTTCCCACCCGCCCTCTCTCCCCCCTGCCATGCACGCTCCCCCATGGTGCGAGCATGGCGCAACGCACTCGCCGATCTTCTCGAGAGCGCCCTTCTTGCCCGCGCGCAGCACCAGGTTCGACTTGTGGAACGAGAAGATGCTGCCCACCAGGGCCAGCGCACGCGCAGTGGGGAGCAATGGGGAAAAAGAGCAAGGGGGAGTGGGAGGGGGGAGGGGCGAGCGAGACGGGGAAAGGAGGACGGGGGAAGAGGGGTAGAGTGGATTTAGTGGAGAAGCAATGGGGATGTAGGGGATGGAGGGTGTGGTGCATGGTGGGTGTGGTGCATGGTGGGTGTGGGGAATGGTGGGTGTGGTGCATGGTGGGTGTGGTGCATGGTGGGTGTGGGGAATGGTGGGTGTGGTGCATGGTGGGTGTGGTGCATGGTGGGTGTGGGGAATGGTGGGTGTGGTGCATGGTGGGTGTGGTGCATGGTGGGTGTGGGGAATGGTGGGTGTGGTGCATGGTGGGTGTGGTGCATGGTGGGTGTGGTGCATGGTGGGTGTGGTGCATGGTGGGTGTGGGGAATGGTGGGTGTGGTGCATGGTGGGTGTGGTGCATGGTGGGTGTGGTGCATGGTGGGTGTGGTGCATGGTGGGTGTGGGGAATGGTGGGTGTGGGGAATGGGGGATGGTACCAGATGGAGAGAGGCTATGGTTGATGTGAGGGGGACAGGCAGTGGACACACAGGAAGAACACCGTCCTTAAAGAATCGCATTCGTGACCCCCTCATCCCCTTGCAGGATAGGCAACCACCGCAGCAACGGGCAGCCTATTCCGCACCCACCCAACATGCCGTCCCTCCCCCGCTCTCTCCCTCACTTGCACCGCCATCGTGATCAGGGAGACACCCCCACTCGCACAGCACCAGCAAGCAGGCAGCATGACATGCAATAAATCTGGCACTCTGGCACTCTGGCACTCTGGCACTCTGGCACTCTGGCACTCTGGCACTCTTGCACTCTTGCACTCTTGCACTCTGGCACTCTGGCAACGGGGCAGACATGCGAGGCAAGGAGCATGCCAGAGTGGTGCAGCGGGGCAGGGCGAGCTGACCCGCTGGTGAGGCGCACAATGTCCCCCGGCTGCAGCGCGTCCACCTCCGCGCCCCACAGCTGCATGTGGACCGCCGCCGTGCCATCCGCCACCAGCGCCGTGCAAACCACCGCCCCTCCCTCGCTCACCCGCGCCGCCGGCCCTGATGCATGGCGTGTGGCATTGCGTATTGAGACGCAGCACACGGCATGCACGGCATGCGGGAAGCACGATTCCATCAGACCGGCGGAACGAGAATGCGGACAGAGCAGCAGATACGACCATGTTCAGCGACGCAGTGTACATAGCAACGACGACGGAAGGACCGGCTCACACGGGGGGTGCTTGAAGGGAGGGGAGCACTGGGGGAGCGAGTGCAGGTAAACCGAGAGAGGCGAAGGGGAAGAGCGTGGGAGAGGCAACGTTTGAGGGGAGGCGACTCCGAGGCCGATGCCAAGGCACTGCGCTACACAGGTCGGCGCACAATGACGCGCGCGCAGGCGGGCTCACATTTCTCGAGGAGGATGAAGACGGTGTTCACCACATTGCCTGGCGCGGGCCGCAGCTCGCAGATCTTCACATAGTGCTGCTGCTGCGCCGGCGAATACTGCTGCGCGTGTTGGTGCGGGTGAGCCGAGCCGTGCTGTTGTGCGACGGGCGGATGCATGTGATGCGCGCTGGACCGTCGACTGGCAGCGAGCCCTGCTTCACGGGTGACGGGGATTACAAGGGTAGCTTGCTAGCGCTACGGTAGCAGAGCGTGTAACGCGGAGCTTGAAACGGCTTTTCCCTAGTTTCAGGGTGTCCCTGGACACATTCCCAGCCCTCTTCCAAAAACAGGGGAGGGGAATTATTTACGCAAATATTCCCAGCCTTCTTCTCAACCCTGACGACGCAATGCTTTCAGGACTCGCAGCCAAAAAAAATTGGCAAATAATGCCAAGGTCTAGATGGCTTTCTCAGCATATTGGAGTGGATGAGATGATAAGGAATGGACATCGTGTAGCAAGCGACTCTACAAGATGGATATTCGCGCATTCACTCACCAGGAAGATTTTCTGTTTCGAGACTGATCGATCGTTCCTGAACCAAATCTACGAGAGTCGACACTCCTGTACCCGTTATGGAATGGAGCAATACGTGTTTGGAATGTACGAGCCCTTTTTTAGCAAAAATCGTTTCATGCGAGGTGTCTATTCTTCTTCTCCCCGGACCACACCCCTCCTTCCCCAACCTCCTCTCCTCCCCCTTGCTGCGATATCGCTCCACATCCATCGTCGCACTCGCGTCTCACGGTCAACCCTACTCACAGTCGTCCACGAGTTGGCCGTCTAAGAAATCTGTGCCACATACCTTCCAAGGAATTAATACCTTGTGGCTCCCTGTAATTCAAATCTCACTCTGGAGGTTTGTCCGACTTCTCCTGCTTTTGCTCGATAGAGGAGCGCGTTTATGTTAGCCCCGCACTAATCTCCACGCACGCACATTTCGCTGGTCCGTTGGATCACCAGACTTTCGTCGCATGGCGTCGTATGCGGGATTGCCGGATGCCCGCTCTATCGCCATCCCCGGTTTAGGATCAGGTGAGTCGATCGGATCGCCGACCCTCGCACGCTCTCCTCAACATTCGCCCATCCCTTGCTCAACGCTCCTTCCTCGGTACCTTTCCTTCGCCAGTCAGTGTCTCCGCTACCTCTGCCTTGGTGTCTTGCCCGCGACGATTCTCCCGCCGTCGTCTCTCGTGTCTCGTCGATCGTCGGATCCGATCATCGCGTACGTAACCTCCACGATCGAATCTCACCACGCCGATCCATATTCGCCCGCGCTCGCCTGGTCCTCGCTTCACTCTGGCCGCTTCCCGTTCCTCTGTTCCTATCTCTCCGCACACCGCAGACGGCATCGGCTTGCGCCCGCGCGCCCGCCCCTCGCCTTGCCGTGCGCGGCCGCGCACCTCTGTGTCCCCCCGCCCACTGACCGCCAAGCCCCGCCCGTCGCTAAATCCTGCGGCGCATTCGTCGTCTTCGAATGGATGGGATGGGGAAAGCGGGGGATGTGGCGGGAGGCGGGGAAGGGACGGCCTGCGGAAAGGCGTGGTGGGGGGGCGGGCATCTGGCGGGGCGTGCCGCGTGTGTGGGGCGCGCAGCTGCGTGTCGTGCGCGGGTCTCCCGCTGCCGTCCTCGCGCTTCTCCCAGGCACGCCGCCCCCTCCCTTTCCCCTCCCCGATCTCCCCGCGCCCCTTCTAACGCATGGGCACAGCGGCGATGCCTGCGCGCGGGAATTGATATGCTGAGACCTGGTAGCGCTTGGCGGCCAGCAGTGTCGAAGATGCGTTTTGTTCCAAACTTCGCTTATTTGCCCCAACCTCCCGCCCTCCCCTTCTCGCCATCTCGCCCCCATACGCCTTCCGCGTATTCCTTGCGATCCATCGTCGTCGCTGTGTTCACGCACCCTCGTTTCCTTCCCCGCCTCCGTGCTTCCACTTCCACCCCCCTCGCCCTCAACAGGCGCGACATGTGCCCAGGGGCGCTCGGAACGAGGGCTGGTGCGACAGAGAGCTGCAGGGGGAAGGGCAGGGGGACCAAGGGCAAGGGGGCGCGCAGGTGCAGGGGGAACAGGCGTGGCGGGGGGAGGGCGCGCATAGGAAGGCGTCAGGAGCAGCGGATTCAGGTTCCGGATCGGAAAAAGAAACGGGACAAGGGGAACGGGCGCGGGATGGGGATGAGAGTGAGGAGAACGCGCACGTGGACAATGCACTGCACGACCTGCCCGCCAGCTGGCACTGGCTGGTTGGTCGGTGGGCACGGCTGGGCGTGCAACTGTCGCGGATGCGCAGCCAATGGGGCAGGCTGGTGTTTGGGCCGGCAGCAGAGGAGCGCATCTGGAGCGTGCCATGGCAGGGAGACACCATCTTTCAGGTGACTCCCCCTCCCTCCTTCCAAAGCAGTTGCAGCCATGGGAGAGCATGAGCTTGGGGGTGGGTGGGAGAGAGCGATGGAACACACGACTGAACTAACTTGGAAAGGAAAAGGGTCAACAAAGCCACCGTTTTGCCTCTTCTTTTTCCAGCTTCCATGCATTCCAACATGTCAGTGGGTGTTTCCCATCATTTTGTGCAGCCTCCTCCCACACACTCTTGCATTTTCCCCCCTCGTTTCCCCCCCCACTCGCCGCTCCAGGTCATGTTCCTCTGGTTCCTGGCGTTCTGGCTCATCGGCTCGTGGCTTGTGCCGCTGCTGGCACAGGCGCTGGGGCTGCGGCGAGCAGCCATGTCGCTGCGAGCGCACGCGCTCTACAGCCTGCTCACTGACCTGGCAGAGATGACCGTTGGCATCGCCATTCTCAACCGCTGCCTCACGCGCTTCCAGCCCCTCCCGCCGCACTGGTTCCCCGTGCACCTGTCAGGGCGCTGGTACCTGCAGGCGCTGCTCGCCTGCTCTTTCTTCCCCTTCGTGCAGCTTCTCTCCAAGCTCAACCTGCAGCTGCTGCCGCTGCCCCTCAAGTTCCAGGCCACCACGCACTTGGAGCAGTCCATCCACTCGCATGACCCCATTGCCACGCTGCTCTATGCCATTGCTGTGGCTGTCTGCGCGCCTGTGTGGGAAGAGGTTGTGTTTAGGGGGTTTCTCCTACCCTCCCTCACACGGTACTTCCCCCTCTGGGCCTCAGTGGTGGTCAGTGCAATGGTGTTTGCACTCGCGCACTTCTCGTTGCAACGCATGCTCCCACTTTTCTTCCTTGGTCTTGTTATTGGGGTTGTCTTTGTTCGCTCTAGGAACTTGTTAGCCTCCATCTTGCTTCACAGCTTGTGGAATGGATTTGTATTTCTAGAATTGCTATTATAGTTGAAGTTCTTTTAAGTGTACAGCCTGTTGCTTTCCAGTGCTCTAGTATAAACTGTTAACATAAATAGATGACTTCTCTGTCAAATGTTCAAACAATTGATTAAAACCAGGGTGCACATTCAACGCGGTTCGGCTTGAGATGTTGGGAAGGGGGTTTGGAGAAAAACAGTGATTGGCTCACGAGGGGCGACAAAAAAATGATTCCGCTAGAGCTTCGGGCATTTCGTAGGTGGCGGGAGGGGGTGAAATGGCGGGAGTGGGTGAAACCGAATGGCGGGAGGGATGAAACAGATTGGCGGGAGGGGGGGGAAACGAAATTGCGGGGGAGGGGGGAAACAAAATTGCGGGGGAGGGGGGAAACGAATTTCGACGGGGAGGGGGAAATGAAATTGCGGGGGCGTGGGGAAACGAAATTGCGGGGGAGGGGGGAAACGAATTTCGACTTGAAGGGGTTGAAAGCACACCTCGTAACCCACTCAGTCAAGGGATAACCTTTGATGCACATTCAGCTGAATGTGCACCCCGGTTTTAAGCAAACAAGCTTTTCAGAAAGGATTTTACCTGTGACGCATCCTCTTGTGTTGAGGATTTTCTTGCGACCAACAAGCTTCCTTCCGTGCACACATTCGCGAACGCGCAAACCGCCATGGCGAGCGCGCGTGAGTTTCGCTTACCCCGTTTTTCGGCCGTTTGATTGGTTGGGTGGACACGGGGGGGTGGCACCAGGGGGGGTGGCATGGCACCAGGGGGAAAATAGTGCCAAAGGCGGATGTTGAAAAGTACCGCACGCCATTGGCTCTATTGCTGTTGTTTTTACTGGCCACCCTTAGTGATGAACGTCCCGCTTTTGTTGTTCCTACTGTACTGCTCATCAGCTCTCCGCCATTGTCGCTCGTGTCTCTGCTCTCGCCGCATGCTTGTCGCCATGACTCCTATCCCGCACGCACGCTGCCTTGCGAATGCCGCGCTCGCCAGCACCAGTACGTATGTGGTGCTGGTGCCGCACCGCTTTGCCGCGCCCACTGCACGTCGCAAGATCGGGCCTGAATAATAATTAATAGCTCGATACTTTACCACTCCTTGCGCCTACCACGAGAAATTTTCGTTCTGCAACACGACGGGGAAGCCACGTGCCTACTTTGGCGGAGAGTTCTTCCCACTCCGCAATGCCATACCCGTTGTATCCCTCCTTCAATTTCCCTCCCCGTGCCTTCCCCGTTCCGCTTCCCCGCAGCCCTTCGCTTACTCTTCTGCGCGTCCCTCGTCTGCGCGCCTCTCCTCGTGCCCGCCAGCGCCGCGCCGGGCGGGGTGCGGTGGCGCGACGTGGATGTGGGCGAGCTGGGCATCATGCCGTCCCCGCTCTTCTCCTTCGACCGCGCGCCCCCCGTGATTGAGGGGGCAGCTCTCCCCCGCCTTGGGGAGATTGGGGAAGGGGCGGCAGGGGAGGATGCTGGGGGTGTAGCGGCGGTGAATGCGTGGCTTGCGGAACAAGGGGCGCAGGGAATTGGGGGACCGGACGCCGCTGTTGGTGTGAGTTCGCGCGCACATCCCCAACTGCCTCGCGCTTGTTGCGACCCCGCCACCTCCCCGCACTCCACTTCCCTTCCGCCACTGCGCACTTTCCCCTGCCCCCGTGGCGGCACAGTGCCTTTAATCCAATGCGATGCATGTGCGGCATATGTTCCCTCCCCCACGCCTTTCACGCCTGCGCCTCTGTTCCGCTCGTCCTTTCCCCCAGTACCCCCTCCCCCCCACCCGCCGGCTATGCTACAACACGTGGGCGGGCCATGCAGCTGCTGCGCCATGCCTCCCCCGCACGCCTCTCAGCTCCTCTGCGTGCTTCCCCATCCCCCTTCCAGGTTGAACCTCCCAAGCCTGCCGCGTGCCCTCACTCGTCCCAAGACTCTCCTGCCTCCGCGTAAGCCCCCCTTCCTCCCCCTCGCTCCTCCGCCCCCCTCCTTCCTTCTTCCTCACCCCTCCTCCCCTTTCCTCTCCAACCCCCTCTCTGTTCCTCTTGCTCTCGAAGCACGTAACTATAGGCATAGCAGCGCGTGAGGGCAGAGAGGGTATGAAGGGCCTCCGGCCACGAGGCGCCACATCACTGCGGTGTGCGTTGAGGGTCCTGTGTTGGAGCAACGCTCAGAGCTTAAAGGTCCCGGCATAAGAGAGGCCAGGCCACATTCACTGCATTTGTCACCTCTCCCACTCCCGCTGTTCCCCTGCTTCAACTCACTCTCCCCTCCATCCCTCTATCCCTCCACTCTTCCCTTCCCACCGACCCACGCGTGTACGCATCGACCCACCCACCGGCGCACCCACGCATGCAGCACGGGCGCCATGCTAGTGGCCCGGCAGCCCATAGCAGCGGCAGCAGCGGCGCTGCTGGTGCCTGCACCGCTGCAGCAGACAGCGGACGGGCTAGCGGAGGGGGAGGCGAGGCAGCTGCCGTACAACGTGACACGCAAGGAGAAGCCCTGGACCGCTGCCTCCGTGCTCGCCGCCTGGCTCCTGCGCGAGCGCGCCAAGGGCGCCAAGTCCAAGTGGGCGGCGTTCATCGGCAGCTTGCCGCGGTATGCACCGCTGCCGGCGCTGTTTGAGCGCGAGGTGGTGGAGATGTTGGACTACCCGCCCATGATGCGCCGGGTCCGTGCCCCTGCCTTCTGCCCTCTTGTCTCGCCCCTCTGCCCCTGCCCCTCTGCCCTCTGCCCATTGCCTGCGAGCAGCTCAGCATTCGGTTGTTGTGGTGTATTCTCTCTGTCGCCCTTCTTCTCTCCCCTCCTCCACATGCTCCCTCTGTAAGAAGAGACCATTCACAGGCATTCCCTGAGATCCCATGCTTGCCTGCACTTTCTCGCCTTCTCCCACACAGCCTTCCATAACCACCGAACCCACCCCACCTCCCACCTCCCCCACTCCCCCCTCCTCCTCGTCACCGTCGCATCCCCCCCGCTCCCCCCCACCCGTGCACGGCCGTGCAGCTGGCGCTGTACCGGGCGGCGTTTGAGGAGGAGTATCTGCGCAGCAAGGCCAAGGCCATAGCGCGCGCCTCCAAGTCGCACTTCTTCTGGGCGCTCTCCCTCGTGCTCTCACGCGCGCTGCCGCTGCTGCCCTACACGCACATGCCGCACGGCCTGCTGCCGTCGCAGCTGCCCGCCAGTGCTGCCACGGCCTCGCCCGTGGGCAAGGTGGTAGCAGCAGTGCGCGCCAAGGAGAGGGGCGACGACAAGGAAGACGCTACTGCTACTGCCGCTGCTGCTACTGCCGCTGCTGCTGGTGGTGCTGGTGCTGCAGCCGGGGCCGCGTCAGAAGCTGGTGCTGCTGGCAGTGGTGGCTCCAGTGAGGGGTTCTGTTCCGCGTCTGCAGGTGCCGGGGAGGGCGCTGCATCCGCCCAGGGGTGCAGTGCGGTGCAGCAGCAGTGGGTGGGCACGAGTGCGGAGGAGCTAGCGCGCAGCATGCAGTGGGTGGAGCAGTGGATGGGTGCGGGCGCGGGGCAGGGCAGGCGCAGCCGCTTCAGTGCCCCGCTGCTGCTGCTGCCGCTGCCAGGTGGATTCATCCACTCGCACGAGCCCAATGCCAAGTTGGAGTGGCAGGTATTTATCTCCCATCTCTCCGCGTTTTCGCCCCGTAGTAAATGGCTGACTTTCGTCTCTTGAACAATATCCACCTTTCGTACTGCGTCGCCTCACAACCTCCTCTGCCCCTGCCTGCCCTTCCCCGCCTGCCCATGCCCTCTCCCCTCCCTTACGTGGGTCACTCCCATGCTGTGTGGCCACCATGCGTGCATGCGACCAGCATGGCACAGCATCGGACCCTCATGCCCCCTCCGACTCCGCACCACCTGTCACCATCCGAGCCCTCTCAGCCATCCCCGCCAACACGCGTCTCTCGCTCAACCTGGGTGCCCTCTCCAACGACGTGCTGTGGGCGCTGCACGGCCACCTGCCCGCCGCCAACCCGCACGACCGCGTGCCGCTCTTCCACACGCCCGACTCGCTGCTCGCCTTCCTGCTCTCGCTGCACCCGCTCTCCACGCCCGCGGGCAGTACCAGCGGCAGCGCAGCGCCATCGCAGTGGTACGACCCTGGGCTGAGCAAGGAGCAGGAGGCGGCGCTGGCAGCGGCAGTGGAGGCAGCAGAGGACGCCGTGCACGCCGAGGTCATGGCACACAGCAGCACCAGCAGCGGCAGCGGCATGGCAGGCGCGCAGCAGCAGTACCCAGTGGCCCTGTCGCTGTGGGACGAGGTGGACGGTGGCGCGTACAACGCGGGTGCGGATGGGCAGGTGGAGCCCCGCCTCGTGGCGGCGCTTGCTGCCGTGTGGTTCAAGTGGAAGCACTGGGAAGGTCACTCCTGCTCCTCGCTCATTCACTCCCTCTCTTGCTTGCTTGCTCGCTCACTCTCCTCTGCCTTGCTCACTCGCTCACTCCTGCTCCTGCTCACGCTCTCTTTCTTGCTCGCTTGCCTGTGCCCTCGCTTCCGTGCTTGAACCGCCTCTCCAGCTTTCACTTGTGCCCTTCCTCGCATGCATATCACGTGCCATCTCATCCTCGTCGCTTGAGCCACCCGTGGGCCTAGTGCATGCGCCCCGCGCTCCTCTTTTCTCTGCCTTCTCAATCTTCATACTCGCCTCCCTCTTCCCCTCTCTCATCTTCCCCCCTCCCCTCGCGCCCTCTCCCCGCGCCTGGCAACCCTGCTGGCCAGACCTGGACTGGCAGCAGCTGGCGCAAGTGGCCGTCTCCTTCTCCCGCAACCCCTTCCACCCAGCCTGCCCCCCTCCCACCGCATCCCTCTCCATCCCCCCTCACCTGGTGGCACCGCTCTCGGCGGCCGCCGCTGCCATTGCGAAGCGTGCGGAGCAGCTGCTGTGGGCCTTCTCTTCCTCGCCACAGGAGGATGAGCTCCTGCTGCAGCGCCTGGCTGCCTGCCGCCTGGCTCCACCGCCACACAGTGGGCCAGATGCTGCAGGTTCTGTGGATGGAAGCGCGGAGAGAGAAGATGGGGCAGCGGAGGTTGCAGACAGCAGCAAGGAGGCTGTGGAAGAAGAGCAGGGAAGTGGACAGGGACGTGAGGGGAGCGCAGGCAAGGCAGGGAGTGGGACGGCTGGTGCAGAGGGGTGCAAAGGGGTGGAGTTTGATGCGAGTGTGTGTACGGCGCAGGTGATGCGCACGTTAGGGCAGCGGGAGATGGTGGTGCGGTTCAGGCTGGGGAAGAAGCTGCTGCTGCAGCGACTTGCTCAGAGGCTTGATAGCGGTGCATGCATCCATGGTGTGGTGGATGGTGCTGGGGAAGCAGCAGCTGCAGCAACGGCAACAGCAGCATCATCCTGATAGGTTCATCCCTGCAATCGGGCCGTGCGTTCCCGCCCGCCCCGTCATGTTGACCAGGCACAATTGTGCGAGTGTGGTGATATACGGTACCGTAATGCACCATACCTTTTTAACATATTATTATTCCTGCTAACATACCGTGATTGCAGAATGTTTTGCAGGATCTTATCAAGGTTATCTTTTGTCCCCCATCCCATCCCAGGCTTCTGAAGTTACTGATGATAGTGTTTAACAAATAAATCAAGGAAGGTGGACTGGTTACTGGCATTTATTACGTTGAGGAGTCTCAAATCAAATCAAATGTTGAGAATAATACGGTATACCATGCAGGGTAATGTCCACTACAGCCTATCACGTGTGTGAAACAATGTGTAGTGACTTTCGGCTGGTGTTAGGGTACGTTCCTGTGGAGACACTTGTGTCTCAATCCTTTTGTGACACGTAAAACCAGCTTATAACGTACAATGTCACAAACGCGTGTCGCCCTTGTGCGACTTTTAATGTATTTTTCATTTGTCAGCGTGAAACGCGCTGATGTCGCGGACGAGTTGCGTATCGACCCGTCATTGTCAACAACTCTGTACGCGGTTCGAAATGTCAATGCACCTGGACATTCCACAGTAAAAATCTCGCGCGGGAAAAAGTTCCGCTCGTCAAAACCCCACCCGAACCAGACAGTTGAAAAAACAGGTGTTCAGTCAAGTTTGAAATCCAATCAAATGAGCACAGCTGTAAATTTCGCCTGGTCGCACAGTTTCGTGATACACTCATTTTTTGTGACGCGAGATTGCAAAAATGTGTAGACGCGACTCGGAAAAAAGGGGATTGAGACACAAGTGTCTCCACAGGAACATACCCTTAGTGATTTACAAGTACACCTTACGCCTAAAAAATGCCTTTTCGAGCAAAAATCACTTCATTTGCCACAAGAAAGGAGAGGACTGGACACAGTTCAGTAGTGTGTGAAAAGAGCAACCGTAATCGGGTTGATGGCTGTTGCCCTGTTCGCACGTTTCCAAGGGCAAATTCGTCGCCTCGTAGCGAGAGTGTAACAAAGTGAGGGGCTGCACGTGATAAGCTGCACTTGTGGAGCGGTTCGGCAATTGAGATAGCATTGAATTTAGAAAGCTTGCTTTCTTGTGTTTGCAATGGCAACGAGCTTCGTTTCAAATGGGTTTGCGGTGCTGCAGAGTCAACGGCATTGAGCCCTAGCAGGTGGGAGCGCATGGCGGCGCGGCGGCGGCGATGCTGGCGTCGCCACAGCAGCACGAGGGGCAATGGCAACGAGCTTCGTTTCAAATGGGCATTACATCATTCTCGTCCGGGATATATATGGTACCTACATTACACATGACAACATGCAATTTTTGCTAGGGTGGGTGGGTGGGAAATAAGACATTTGAAATTTCAAACGAAGACGTGGGTGGAGGCCAAATGGCCTCCACCCCCTGCTATATAGTTGGCGAAGAGCGTCTAGCACTTCGCCGTTGCCATTGCTGCATTACAAGCAGCTTCGCTTTCAAAATACACATTTTTAGAAAGTGTTACACACTTTCAAAAAAATTCATATTTAGAAAGCTTGCTTTCTTGTGTTTGCAATGGCAACGAGCTTCGTTTCAAATGGGTCTTCTGAGACATGAGACGGGGAGATGCTGCGGAGACGGTAAAGGTTGTTGATGGTTTATGCGACGACATGTCGGTGGAGTTCCAATCATGCGCGAAGAAGAAGGCTGGCACCGATGTTGATCAAGGTGCAGTATTCTCTGCTGTTGCATTGGAGTGTCGCCCTAAGTGAGTGTAGCACAGTAGTGGTTACTTATAAGCGTTGGCTCACACGTGAGCTTCGGACACGAACTCGCAAGCAGTATGGGAGGACACGGGCAGCGGGCGTTAGTATTCTGTGTAATGATGGATGTGATGCTTGTAGGAGCCCAACCCTTGTTGCGGTCACAACCGTGCTCACATTACGAAGCGTGCATGCAACTTGTATCCGGGTACGGTAAATCTGTCAAGGTTTAAGCCCTTGGTATTCTTACTCATCTGCTATAGTTGTGCACCATTTCAAACTCACCAAAATTTTGTTCAACCAGCCAACTCAAATGTGATCGCGTCCAAACCTTGCACTTTGGGCTTTAGCCCTGGTATTTGACCAATATATAACTAAACTCACGAGCCAGAAAGGGACCCACCGGTCCTCCTCCCCCCTGGGGAGCTCGCTGGCCAGCACCGCACAGGACCCACCGGTCCTCCTCCCCCCTGGGGAGCTCGCTGGCCAGCACCGCACAGGACCCACCGGCCCTCCTCCCCCCTGGGGAGCTCGCTGGCCAGCACCGCACAGGACCCACCGGTCCTCCTCCCCCCTGGGGAGCTCGCTGGCCAGCACCGCACAGGACCCACCGGTCCTCCTCCCCCCTGGGGAGCTCGCTGGCCAGCACCGCACAGGACCCACCGGGCCTCCTCCCCCCTGGTGAGCTCGCTGGCCAGCACCGCACAGGACCCACCGGTCCTCCTCCCCCCTGGGGAGCTCGCTGGCCAGCACCGCACAGGACCCACCGGTCCTCCTCCCCCCTGGCATCACCAAAATTGCGTGGTCCCCAATCTGTCCCGAAACCATTCTGTCCCAGAACAGACACAAATCCGTCCCGAAACTATCTTGAAAGACACTTTCGGGACATTTTCGTCTTCAGGCGGTTTTGCGCTACATTTCAACATGTCCCAAAAGTGACTTGTGCCGTAATCTGCCCAGGCCTGGGAAGGTTAGAGCTGCAACGCGATCAGAAGACGCAGGTTCGATGCCCGTCGATGTCAGTTCCATTGCGTTGGGTGTAGATTTTGTTTATGATTTTCGTTCGTGTTGTACCCTTCTGGAATATTTCATTACGAAATATAAGTACACCACAATGTTGGTGGTAATCATAATCCCACAATGTTACCAGTAGTTGTTTGGAATAAAAACTGGCACTCAAAACAAGTACAACAAAACAAAATATTGCTTTTGTGTTTAGCGTCAAGAACCTCATTGGGAATCGAACTCAACACCTTCGGAAAATATCTGAAGTACAAGACCACTGCGCTAGGAGCTAACGTGAATTTAGACCTAGAGCTTCTTACCAACTTCGCTTAGGAGATTCGTTCGTTGAAAAAAATGCATCCTGATCCGAAATAAGCAGTACCTTTGCGCCACCTGTCATGCAAACCAACGTGGCACCTGCCAACTGCATCAAAATCGCCACGTGCACTGGAAAATAGTCGCGTCACTGCCACCACACAACCCAAATACTCAACAACCTATGCCAACCACTTCAATGTGAAAACCTCATCACGTTAGCCACTGCGAAACTAGTGAAACCCATCCAAAGCTCCCTCAAATTTCAATCGTTTTGCTGGATTAGAGCGTTTTGCTCGTCACAACTCATTTCTTTCTCCTCGTATTTTGTTGTTCTGTCTCTGTGTCTGCCAATAACTTGGCTCTACTAGTAACTCCCGTTGAAGTTTTCAACGGGATTTCATATCTGAATCCCTATAGCGCGCATTTCTGTTTATTTTGCGCTCTTGTTCTACCTCTTCTATCGTCACCAGAACCGTCATGTCGATTAGCATCTCTTAGTTACTCTCTTATCTCCCATCAACTTTATCGTCCCTTTCAATGTTAATGCATCTAATTTGTGCATCTTCTTCCCTTGCGTTCCTTCCTTTCCATGGCAGTGGATCACGACAGCAAATACAATTTGAAATGACGGTTAGTATTTCGTACCCTTAAACCTGTCATGCATATCCGTGTCATTCTGGCTACGCTTGATGTATTCATGCAATTCTATTTTATCTAACGTTGTCGTTCTTTAAAAGTATATAATCCTGCTTTTACTTGCTGTGTTTTTGTTTGATCGTAAGAATACCCTCAACAGAAATTGAAGAAAGGGCATGTCAATATCTTCGCCCGTGCGTTTTTCGAGCATTTATTTCCCTTCACGCAATTGATGGTTAATTGTAATTTGCCACATTTGGCCAACTTTCAGGTACAGATAAAGACGAAGAGTAATTGTAACTTTCATTCCAATCTACGTCGTCTTCTGTGGACTGCTGGATGAATAAGTTGCATACTAGTTGTTTCTGCATCACATTTGGTTAGGCATCAACTGAGGCATTCACTGATTAAAACTTCAATGTGATGTCTTGTGTTCAGGATAAAATATGATTAATACACTATGGATTTGGAAGCAACCAAAAAATAATGCACAGAGTGGTGCAAATATTGAAGGACGTTGAAGTTGGATGCATATGTGCGGTAGCCTATTTTTTGGAACAGTGTAATAGTGTAGTGTTTATAATGCATACGGGCTTTAAACTTGAAAATTTGTCTCTTGAGTGTCTCGAATCTCTCCTGAGGACAGTCCTGAATGTGCTGGTTGGATATGTCTCGAATGTGTCTCGAAAGACACTTCCGGGTCAGTTAGGCGTGACACTTTCACGACATTTCACTTAGTCTCGAAAGTGTCTTTCGAGACACTTTTCAACCTGTCCCCAAAGTATTCGAAAAGAATCTTCTGGGACAGTTTCGAGACATTACAATTTGGCGATGGGGGAGCTCGCTGGCCAGCACCGCACAGGACCCACCGGGCCTCCTCCCCCCTGGTGAGCTCGCTGGCCAGCACCGCACAGGACCCACCGGTCCTCCTCCCCCCTGGGGAGCTCGCTGGCCAGCACCGCACAGGACCCACCGGGCCTCCTCCCCCCTGGTGAGCTCGCTGGCCAGCACCGCACAGGACCCACCGGTCCTCCTCCCCCCTGGGGAGCTCGCTGGCCAGCACCGCACAGGACCCACCGGTCCCCCTGGGGAGCTCGCTGGCCAGCACCGCACAGGACCCACCGGTCCTTCTCCCCCCTGGGGAGCTCGCTGGCCAGCACCGCACAGGACCCACAGGTCCGTTTCCGGCTGGCGCGAGGCCCCCGGTCCCAATCTCCCACGGGAGCGCATGGGTTGTGCCAAATGTTTTGCCGCAGTCTTTCTTCGCCGGTAGTCTCTCATGGCGACCCAAAGGTAGTTGCCTCGCACCGATTTACTGCGATAAAAAATAAGAAATAGCATGAGAGAAAAACGCAGACGAACAAGAATCGAAGATAGGAATGAAGAAGAGGTGGGAACATATGCAAAGTAATAATTTATTCGTTGGCAAATTTCAACATCAGAAGCGCATTTGCCGCCAGTTTGTCTCTGGCGCGCCACTAGAATCTCGCCTTCTGGAGATTTCGCCATCATGCCTGCTGGTACCGACTTCCGCTGGACGCGCCCCTGGGTTCTTGCACGCCACTGGCGATTTCGTAGCCACATGCGGCAGTGGCGATGTTGACCATTTCGGCGCCATGAGCGCCACTGGCGCCACTTGCGCCGCTGGCGATTTTGACTCCACGTGCGCCACTGGCGATTTCACCACGCGCGCCTGTGGCGATTTCGTCGCCACGCGCGCCTGTGGCGGTTTCGTCGCCACGCGCGCCTGTGGCGATTTCGTCGTCACAAGCGCCTGTGGCGATTTCGTCGCCACGCGCGCCTGTGGCGATTTCGTCGCCACGCGCCCCTGTGGCGATTTCGTCGCCACGCGCGCCTGTGGCGATTTCGTCGCCACGTGCGCCAGTGGCGCTGTCGCTTTATTAGCCTCGACGTGCGCGCCTATCGTGCGGACGGGTGTACCCGCAAGACATTTCTGAAACGTGTGTTGTGCTATGTCAATCTAGTTAATGCCTACTATTTTAAGAGAGAAGTGAGCGACTGAGGAGAACGGGAAGTCGTCGGACGAGAATGAAATAAGACATTTGAAATTTCAAACGAAGACGTGGGTGGAGGCCAAATGGCCTCCACCCCCTGCTATATAGTTGGCGAAGAGCGTCTAGCACTTCGCCGTTGCCATTGCTGCATTATAAGCAGCTTCGCTTTCAAAATACACATTTTTAGAAAGTGTTACACACTTTCAAAAAATTTCATCTATACACAAAACTACACATACAAGGCACTTCATTTCAACCTATCTCTTCTATGTTATCAACAAGCCCCAGCTCCTCACTATGACTAGCACCTTCAACATCCTGTGTTTGCGGTGCTGCAGAGTCAACGGCATTGAGCCCTAGCAGGTGGGAGCGCATGGCGGCGCGGCGGCGGCGATGCTGGCGTCGCCACAGCAGCACGAGGGGCACGAGCATCACCAGCAGCACCAGCGCGCCAGCCCCTCCTATCGCCCCTGCCACCACCGCTGCATAGCTACGGCCATGGGAGGACGCGGACGGAATGGCTGACTTGGGGTCGCCACTCTGTTGGGCTTTCAGCTCTGCGAGCATGCATGGAAGACACACGGAGCTTGTGAGTCCAAGTCATACTTTGAGTGGGAATGAGGGGATGACGACTAAATTTTCAGAGAGGAGAAAAAATAGGAGGCAACTAGTTTACCTGAGCCAAGGTTTGCCCGAGCCAAGGTTTACCCGAGCCAAGGTTTACCCGAGCCAAGGTTTACCCGAGCCAAGGTTTACCGGAGCCAAGGTTTACCCGAGCCAAGGTTTACCCGAGCCAAGGTTTACCCGAACCAAGGTTTACCTGAGACTAGTCTGCCTGGGACAAAGTTCACCCTGGACGCAGCTTACCGGAGACGACGTTTTCGCGGGGGACGTTGGCGCGCACGACTTCAATGACCTCGATGCTGCTGATGAGGGGGCTGAGCCTGCTGCCGTTGCACGCCACCAGCCGCACCTCCAGCGTGGGCGCCGACCCAATGGCGGGCCGGCTGAAGCCGACGACGACAGGCAGCGTGACGAGGCGGTTGTGCTGCCCGTGGGCCTCACGCAGGATGTCAAAGCTGCTCACACTCACGCCGTTCACGTGGATGTCAAACACACGCTCGCCCACGCGCGACCCCGGCTGCACCGCCGCGAAATGCAGCAGCACCACCCAGCGGTTGAGGCGCGCCGGCACGCGGAATGAAAACGAGTAGTGCAGCCCGCTCGCCAGCACCGCCTCGCGCGCCGTCTGCAGCAGCGCCTGCGCCAGGAACAGCGGCGCCTCGCCCGCCCCGCTCACCGACATGAGTGTCTGCACCGACTTCGGTGGCTTCACACGCCACTGCGGCCGCGCGTGCTCCTGCTGCCCGCTGCCCTCTGCACCCTGCGAAGCCTCTCCACTGGGTGGTGGGACCCCCACCTGCTGCATCTGCACGATCTGGTTGAGGTCGCTGGACCACCGGCGCCCAAGAGTATCCCTCAGCGTCTTGCCGTGGCCCGTGGGAACAAACCCCGATGTACGCACCAACGTTTCAAAGCTCCACGTGGAGTTGGTCACTGGCGTCGCGGGCAACACAGCATTGCCGCCCGCCAGGCGGTTGGTGCTGCCCACTGCGGTTCTGTTGGGGGCAGCGACTGCTGAGTCGTTGGCGGCGGCGCGGCCACAGTCGATGCGGGCGCGCACGGCGAGGAAGGCGTTGGGGGGGACGACGGAGGGGAGGAGGTAGAAGGCAGCGGGCACAGGGAGGAGCTCGATGGAGTTGACGAGGGCGTGGCCCCACACGGGCAGGAAGCAGAGCGTGAGAGAGGCATCAGCGCTGTCGATGATGTACTCGGGCTCGTACACCGCCCCCACGTGCCCAGCCATGCTCACCGTCTCCATCTGCACGCCCTCCACCAGCACCGCAAACCGCGGCCACAGGCCCTGCATGCTCTCTCGCAACGCCCCCAAGTCCCCACTCTCGCTCTCGCTCACACTGGGCGGCAGATCTGCCATACTTTGGCCGTCAGTTGCTCCGAGAGGGCCCTTGCCTGCTGGGGATGAGAATGGCGTGTCATCCGGCAACCGACTCACCATGGCTTCACCAGAGGCCCCGGGAGCAGCCGCCGGCGCATACAAATGCTCAGCTTCAGCTGCGCTTGCCGTCACAGTGTCGTCGCGAGTTGCGGCGGCGCTTGTGCGTGCAGACGTAGCAGAGACGCTGAAATCCTGCACCCTGATGGGGCGCCCTCCCTGCACCGTCACGGACGAGACCGTCTCAAACGTCTTGGCAGGTAACGTGTCGCTGTGGTAGGCAAAGGCGAGGCGCACGACGTAGCGGCCGGGGGAGAGCGGGATGTCGTAGCAGCTGACGTCGCCCGTGTGGAAGATGCGCTGCGACGCCACCTCCTTGGGAAAGCCCAGGTGCGACGCGTTGAGCACCGCCACTGGCTCTCCCCCCGCGAAGTAGGTGTCCGGCTCCCACACGCGCCCGTCGCTGCCCGTCACGTGCTCCGACGCCCCGCAGTTGATGCGCACGGGGAAGGCCGCGCCTGGGGACGGTGGGGAGGAAGGAGGGCGTGAGGGGCGTGCGGGGTGGGGTGCGCGGGCGGGGCGATGTGAATGGCAAACTGCAGCACACCAGTTTTGTACAAGTACAAGCAGAGAGGAAGGGAAAGGCATACCAGGGGATGTCACGGCGGGCGACGCGACGACGCAACCCAGCAGCAGCAGCCGCAGCAGCAGCCGCAGCAGCAGCAGAGGCAGGCTGAGTAGAGACGACCACCGCAGCGGGCTGCCGCGCCAGGCACTTGCCTCGCCGCGTCCGCGCCCACGCCATGCTTGCCGCGGATCCGTGCCCTCCGCCCTTGCTGATTTCGCGGCGGCGCGCAGCCTCCTCCTCCCCTTAGTTGCGCAGCAGTCGCTGCCACCATCGCCTCCTCCTTGTATCCGGCCTCCGCGCCCTCTTGCGCCTCCTGTGACTGTTGACGCGCATCCATCCCCATCGCGCTCCCTTATCCGCTGCATGGATGAGCTCGTCGGGTCCATCTATAGCGCGGACAATCACATTGCGGGGGACGGAGGGGGGAATCAGGAACGGAATCAGCGCACGGGCCGAACGAGACGCGGAAAGACGCGACAAACGCGGCACGCACGGAAGTCGTGAGTGAGCGGTCAGCCATCCCCGCGTTGCCACCACTGTGGCCGCGCCTTTTTATATCCGAAAGCTCCCGCCAAAAGAATTTACATAAATGGTTAGGGCTTCCGCCTTACCTTGCGCCGCGCGGTGGTGCAGCCACGTCTGTGCCGCTGACGGTTCCCACTCCACGCCGCTGCAGCTGCCTCGTCCGTAGCGCTCGCCGCTCCGCATCTGGCGGCACGCACACCAGCACACACAGAACATGGTACGCACAGCATGGTTAGCAACCACGCCAGGGGCAGTCGTCATAAGCATAGCAGCAAATAATTGAGCCATGAGTCCTCACACTTCTCCACCCATGCTTCCCAATCGCACGGATCTCGCGCCACGGCAGCATCGCCGTGGGAGGCGGGGGCAACAGCAAGGGCGGCCAGCAATCGCGGCGTGGATGTGCCCCACGGGAAACCAATTACGGTCCACAAGCTCCAGTTTGGGTTTCAGTTTGACCTAAGCGGTCAGTACGCAAGGAAAGCGGGTGTGAGCAGACGAAACAGCCACCGACATCAGACGTACTCTGCGCTGCGATTCCGCCCGCCGTCGCCATCACCGTCGCACTCGCCGCACTGCGCGCGCTGCGCTCGTTGTCGCGCCGCCGCTGTCCGCCCCGCTGCTGCGGGCAGATCGCAGATAGTATCGTCGGCGCGTCGAGCGGGAGAGCGCGGACACGTGGCCTGGCAGGGCGGGGAGAGAGGCATGGCGCACAAAAAGGGCGGTGAGCACGCAGAGGCGCGCACACACGCGCGACGGACGAGAAACGCAGAGAAACGGAAAAAGTGGAGAGCCAGCGCCTGCCGCACACGAGCGATTAGTTTCGCCCGAATCGTCCAAGAGCTCGTAGTAACTGCCCGAATGAAATGAAAACGCGCGCAAAGGGGACGCTCTGTGCCGCGACAGAGCGGCCAAGCACACGTGACATGCTGACCGACCGCCACGGTGGAACAACGACCGTGCTCGTCGTTCCATGCAGGGACCGTGACGCGTCGTCGTGGCCCGCGGGGGCCCGCCGCTTCTCTCCCGCATACACGCGGGCGAGTCACGGCGAAGATCCCCGTACTACGCTCGGCGGTCGCGAATTTTATTAAAAGAAGACGATGAGAGGGCATGATTCGACGCAAACAGCATGGGCTTCCAGCTCCGTCAACGCCGACAGGCGCGGGAGAGGCCCGTAACATCCGCAGAGCACGCACCTCCATGCCGCACGAGCCATGCCGTGTTTCCGCCAAGCCTTCAAGAGGACCCCCCGTCCAGTGGCTGCCGCCGGGTTTCCAGCCGTAGTCGCGTTGCCCGTGGTCAACGTGACGGCTGTGACAGACGGACGACAGGGGGGCGGACGAGAGGGTGAGGTGGGGAGCGGGGGCGCCGGCAGGGGAGACGACGGATGGAGGAGGAAAACGAGGGGGGAAATATATATATTCAATTATTGTACGAGAAAAAACAGGTATACTCTTTCGGTGATGGTCAAGAGCGGGAAGATCGCAGAGAACGGTGCTTCCTCTTCAACCAGATGATGATAGCATACGTCAGTGCATGAGACGGAGAGAGTGCCGTATGACAGCGCAGATTGCGGTGGTCCTGTAGTATCAGCTATAGAGGGAAGGCAGCACCTGGAGAAACAATGCGCGGCTGGAGGGCCGTCAATGCTCCGCTCCGCTTCGTGCACGGACACCACGCGGCGCGTCCGTTCCTCCTCCGAGGGGGTTAGTAGTAATCTCCCTCGTTGAAGTACTAATGAGCACGAAATTGCGTTCTCACTGAAACCGCGCGAGGTACAAGCCATAGCTGTCCTCTGAAATGATTCGGGTTGCACCGAACGAGTCTGTGCGCCGATGTCAACGGCGGACGCGCTCTGCCGGTCCATCTATCACGTCGGTAATTGTAGTGACTTCTACTGAACAGGCTCTCGCACTGCTGGGAACAGGAGCCAGGACGATAGGGATGGAGAGAGATGTGATAAGGAGGAAAGAAAGAGGAAAGCTGGGCTCAGGCGGGATAAGCAGAAGGTCGGGAGCTGATACGTCAGCGATAGACAACGAATGAAGCTGTGATACGTGGTGGGGATGATAGGGCTAAGATTAGTGGGGTCTGTGGGAGGGCTGCTTCTGTATAGGGTTTCGCCGTCCATCAGGTGCCTTTGCTCAGCTCAACACCAAAACCCAAGTCGACTGCCTCGACGGCGGTTTGGCAAATTGCTGCTCCGCAAAAATATTCAACACAGCCACACCAACAACACCTCACCTGGCGGGCATTCCCTCCGCCGCAACCGCAACACCCCCTTTTTGCGGAGCGAAGCTGAGCTGACAACCTATCTGCGCACAGCATAGCTGACTATCGAATCGCAAGCACCCTGTGCGGGAACATCTTGACGTGTGACAACAACCCTAGATGATAAGCGCGCAGTGATGAAGGGCTAACATTCACAGCATTTGTTTGGAATGCTGCCCCAAATGCCCCCAAATGTAATCTAGAGAGTATCCATCCGAGTGGGTTTACGGCGTGTTACGACCCAGGAAGATCGCGGCTCGGGATAATTAAGACATTCTGAGAAATTTTGGCGCACCCTCGAAGCACCTACAGCGCAATTGGCATCTAGCTGACCTGCAGGTTAAGCGAGCTGCGCCGAGAAACAACACCTCGTTTGACCAATGGTTACGCAGAACCTTGGCTCGCTGGATTTGCAATTCGTACGCGACTGTACAACGAGATTAAAGCGAGATGATACAGTTCGTTTTCTCTAGTAACTTGTCGCAAGCCGGTTGGGATTGGTCAGATCGACTTGGTTGACCCAACATGGTCAACCCGGTCGGGCAGACCCAACCAAATTAGGCTGGGTTGAACCGTTCGGTTTTCTGCGCAAACCAGCCTTCCTAGAAATGGGGATCGGGGGCGGTCGACCCGACCTCTTTGGGTCGCAACACGTCATGGAGTTCCCAGCCCAGTCTGGATAAGCCAGAAAGCCGTCATCCCATCGTTTCTGGTGTCCATCGCAAAATGGAGGGCTTTTTAAAGTTTTGGCGTAAGCATACAGAGAGGTCTTGTAGCTTCTCGCAGCTGCCTTCTCATCCGCTCAACTGTTGATTCGTGAAATGGCTTTCAGGCAAGAGACTTTCCTGCCCGAAGATCAGCAGCCATTCGGGCCATCAGTGTCCCCTGCCACGTGGTCAACCACCTGCACATGTACGTACGGCACCAAGAGGAGAATTCTCCAGAAGCAATCAGAAGCACGACAAAACAAGTGGTGGGTCTCAATTTCCCCGTGCGTGTTCGGCGTGGTTGCATTCCAAGGGATCGCAAATGCTGGTTACCCATCATACCCACAATATAGGCGCAGGTGCGCTTATAATAAAACATCTAAATTTGGCACTAAAAGTAATGATGAGTGTAAATCGTTGAAAACATGTATGCTTCTAAAGCGACTGGGAATTTGTGCTACGAGTGCAATCGAGTAAGAGCGAGAATTGCACTATCGAAGCAAACAATACAGTGGTAACCCATTTGGTAATGGTAACACATTTGGCATGAGCGAGTTGTTTGATACCTAGCGAAACTATTTGGCAATGACAACGCGCTTGCGAACGAGTGCCCTACGGGCCTAGTGCCGAGATTGGGAAACTGTCGAGGTCTAGGGCCGGCCGAGTCGGGTGTTTTGGGCACCAGGTTCATGATGGCGGAAACAGGGTCGATGTGAGTGTCCCAAAGTGGTGACGGATTACTGTTTGGTGTACAGTGGCGTGAACAATCATGTATGCGGTATGATGTTGTCAAACTATGTTAGATAGTTTGAATAGGCTTTAGTGAGTTTCATCATACGGAGTACACAAATTACTATCGACACTCTTCTTGTACCCTCTCCCCTTACCCTAATCACCATTCTCTCTCTATCTCTACTAAGTTAGATTCTAAGATGGTATCAGCAGTAGGTTCGTTCCCAACCTAAGATTACGCGCCCCGTCTGCTCCGTAGCGCGCGTCGCCCTGTTCGTAACGTGCCTCGTCTGTAATGCGCCCTGTAACGTCCCGTCACGCCTCTTAACCCCCTCCCCCCCCCACACATTCACTCGGCAAGCGCGCGAGAAGTAACTCCACGTGCCTTCGCTACGCACTGCTGCCCATGCTCCTTGAAGAGCCCACTCTTTTCCTATGGAACTTGACCATTATTACCCGCTACTGACCACTCCCCACCGGTCTAGACCAGGCCTGTCGATTCAAGGGCATATGCCCTTAATGCCTTGAACATTCCGGGCTACTTTCGCTCCAGCTCGACTGCCAAAAGTGTTAGATTCGCACTGCACCCGTGCCACTAAGTGCCTCGCTCGACCCTTCCCCGGATGCGTTAAGGGCCCAAACCAGGCCTTCCCCTGTCTCGAAGTTTTGGTTTCTGGTTGTAGGACCCTCCCCCCCCCTCCAAATTCTAACTGACCCCACCCCCCCTTTCTCCTTAGGTTGCACGAGAGGAGTGGATTTTTCCCTTAGCGTTTTCTAGCCAATCCTGTGTTTGTAAAGTGTCTAAGTCAGCTTGGAGCACCCGAATTTTCCCTAAGCGTCTAAGTGTCCCCCCCCCCCCCCCCTTTCCTCCTGACACGAGAGGAGTGGATTTTCCCTTAGCGTTTTCTAGCCAATCCTGTCTTTGTAAAATGTCTAAGCCAGCTTGGAGCACCCGAATTTCCCCTTAGCGTCTGAGTGTTCCCCCTCCCCCCCCCCCTTTCTCCTTAGGTTGCACGAGAGGAGTAGATTTTTCCCTTAGCATTTTTCCCGTGTTTGTAAAGTGATTCAGGTGATTAAGTCAGCTTTGGAGCACCCAAATTTTCCCTTAGCGTCTAAGTGCAAACTCTTCACAGGCCCGGATTTTAAGTTTTCACTTTGGGGTGCGCCCGTGACCGTTAAGGGCGCCCAAACGCTCAGCTACACCGAAAACAGGGTCAGATGGGGAGGAGCTGGGGAGCGCAAGTATGGGTCCCAGGAACTTCGACAGGCCTGGTCTAGACCACACTCAATCGCACTCAACCGCACTCGACCATACCCGGCAGCTGCAACTGCACACGTACATGCTGTCCCACCCACACGCCTCCGGCCATAGACGTTTCTCACGGCGGCTGGCCGCCGCACTCACCTCTTCGAGCGAGTCTTAAAGCTTCTAGCCTAGTTGTTCCTCATTTTCTTCGACTTCGCATTTTAGCACCGTTTGCCACCCTCTTCACCGGTTTCTAGGCTAGCCTCCACGCCACGTTTCCGTGCGACTGTTACTAGCTCATCTTGCTCTCATGCCCCTCTGGCTTGTACGATGGCGTCCAATAGAGTTCTACAACAGCAGGGTCAGCCACAGTGGCAGCAGTCGCAGCACTCCCGGCAGTGGGGACCGCTCGCCCTGAGGAGTGTCGGCCCCAGCAGCAGTACAGCCAGATGGGCGGCTCACCGCGGTGGTCGCGACGTCGGCCCCTACCATTACAGGATTGTGACTGGCCCTGACGCTGGCACTACCTTCTTGTGCCCTAACCACTCCGCATCCCGCTGCTACCGCCGCCTCGACGACCTCTACCATGAGCGTTTTGGGCCTGACTCATCGCTTCCGCATTGGCCTACTCTGTCTCGCCATGGTTACCATATTTATTCTATATCTATGTAGGAAGCTTATAGTGCCATGTTTATTGATAACTCTAGTACTATTGGATCTGTTGATTTGCATGTGCCTAGCTTAGGACATTCTGCTAGTGTGGGAACTTGTGCTTCTAGTGTAGGTGCTTGTGTAGTTACTAGCCCATGTGTGCCTGCGGTTGACGCGCCGCTCTCTTTCACGCTAGACTCTGGCGCGTTGCAGTGCTTCTTCCGAGACCACACCACTGTCACACCTCTTTCTGTCCCGGTTACAGTTGCTCTAGCTAATACTACTTTTGGACCAGCAGTCGCTCGCAGTTCTATCACCCTCCCGTGCCCACTTGTCCCCTCTGGTGTCCTCAGTGGTCTCTATATCCCCTCATTCTCTCGGAACCTGATAGGTGTTGGATATCTTCAAAACCGTGGGGTCACGGTCACTTTTCCTGCGCACGGGAGGACTGCGATCTGTACGGACGCTTCTACTGGGGTAGTTCTTGCCACGTTCACCAAAGAGCCCCACTCGGGAATATTCGTTCTGCACACTGCACACCCCCCAGGTAGCTGCATATGGTCCGGTAGCTGCGTCTGGTCATGTAGTTGCGCCT